ATTTTTACCTCTCCTCTAATTCATGAGATCAAACTATCTGGAAGTGTATTTTATAATAAATAACTTACCAATACAGTTTCTTCCAGAGGCATCTGGTTCATAGCCACTGTTGCAATTACAACGGTAACTACCACGTAAGTTTTCACAAATTCCATTGGCACATATATCAGGATCCAAAGCACACTCATTGATATCTGCAGTAAATATTGAATATTTAATGCTCTCAGATATTCTATTGTTTGTTGATAAATGCTGGTCTAATAAAGATAATTTAACTTATGAAGTGTTGACTTCTGCAAACCCACCATTTGCCTGCCTTTCAGAAAGGAAAAGGAACTGGCAATAAAGAGTAAGAGAATAAAATTAAGAGATACCGGGCACTACACTGGAAATTAAAATTATAATAATAAAAGGAGCAGGCTGAAATTAAAAGAATTAAATCATATAATATTCTTGTTAACAAAGAATATTAACAAAGAAAATTTATATGCTGCTGGCTGAAAATACAAAGGAAAACTCAACTTGATTAGTTTCTGTAACTATCTAACTAAAATACAGAGATTTATTAGAGTGGCCTATATAATTTTATGGTCCCCAAAGGCATAGGATATTTCTAATTTATTATTTTTTTCTGCAGTCAACTAACGTAGAGTGCAGATTAAAGAACCCTACAATTTTACTTAAAATGCAGATGAATCTCTTTCTATATATTAAAATATAAATGAGCTTGAAAATTGTAAACATATATGTACTTAAATGTTCAAGATTTCCTATTAAAACTTTGTTAGCTAAAATACTAAATTTAAATAAGAAAACTTTTATGAATCCTACTTCTTTAGTTAGGTAAAAACATTCCAGTATTATTATGCATAAATAGTCTTAAATTATTTTAGGGCAATATATCCCACACTTGATCTGCATCAACTATCTCTTAAAGACTGCTTTCTTCCTAACTCTACCTGCACTATTATTCAATATTTTCTTCTAAAATTGACTCTTCATTTAAACCTAGTTAATACTAACTCCAGCCTCTTCTTAAGCACTGATATCCAATAAATCATGGAGCAGTTTGTTAGTGACATTTTAACAATGCATATTTAACACATACATATTTATCTGAAATGAAAAATGTCCATTTACATACCACTTAATATCATCTATCTTCTAACCATTGTTCTAGAAGATAATTTACCTTATTATTTTACACTAGTAATTTTCATATTACATACAATTAATATTATAGTTATAAATCTATACATTACAGCATAAAATTATTATAAGATTGAGAATCACATAGAGTTACCTCTTCCATCCACAGTGATACCAACTCCACTACTACAAAGGCCATGGAATTCAGCTGTATGATAAAAATAAATAGAAAAATTAAAAAATTCTAAATCTGTTCCATATATAAGACACTTAACTCTCATCTGGGAGAACTATGAGCATTAGTTTTAAAATGAAAAAAAATTAACATTTTCTAGCACATAATTATTATAAGAATCCTGAAATCACAGGTAAGCATAAAGAGGTAAATAAAAACCACTTATCATCATCCTGAATATCACGAATACATTTTCTTTTCTTTTTTCTCAATATTTTCTAAATATGGAAACTAAGAAAATGCAAAATTGTATTATAGAGATTGCATTTCAACTTTGTGTTTTTCTCTTAATAATAAAATAATAACAGCCCAAACTTATAGCTACTTTCCTGGGTACCTGGTATTGTAGCATTTTACATCTAACAATTTAATCTTTCCAATACCACAAACTCGGTGCTTTCGTTTTCTCTCTTTTATAACTGAGAAAACTGTAACAAAGGGCCACTTGCACCCCACAACTTTAAAATAAATAAATTAAAAATAAGTAAATAAATAAAAATAAAACGAAGAAAAAGGCAATTAAAAAAGCTAAACAAACAAACAAAAAAACCATGGCAGTAACTCTCCAAAGGTCATAGAAATTGGGAGTGGGGTGCAGCCTTAGTTCCCGAGTACTCTATCACTGACATGTCATGTCAATGCCCCATTTAAACAGACCATTTAATTTTTTTTTCTCAGTCATGTGGAGATACCACATAAGCTCAATAAATCTTACTGATTAAATTAGGTTAGTCCAACTTTTAGCAACTATCACAAATAGTATGAAGTTCAACTTTATAACTAGGATAATCTCTCAGAAGTAAACCTACTCACAGTTTATGCCCTTTGAAGGTTTTGGATAGTCACTTCCTTAAATGCCTTAGATTCCCTTCCATCAGCAGTATAAGAAAGCACCTATTTTTGTATACTCTTACTATCACTGGGAAAAATCAATTGTCTGTACTTTACCAACATGGCAACAACAATGCCACCTTATTTTATTTTATTTTAATTTTAGAGAGACTGACCTCTTTTTACATGGTAATATTCCATTTACCTTTGCATTTTGTGAAATTCTATTTGTGTATATTACACTTTTTTCTATAGAGGATTTTATCTTCTGTTATTGACTAATGTAAATTCCTAAAAAGATTGCAGAATGACACATGAAAATATTTTCCAAGTTTACATGTGTATTTTAATCTTTGGTGTCTGCTTTGAAAGTAATTTACCATTAAAAAATAACAAAAAATTATATATTCCATGTAAAAATTATTTTAAGGTTTAATGAAGAGACCTCATTTCATATTTCTTTCCCAAAAGTTATCAATAATATTCATTACTCAGTTTATTTTTTCCTCACTGTTCTAAAATGCTGTCTTTATTATGTCCTACATTTATATTCAGATTTGTTTCTAGATTCATTATATCAGTTCACTTATCTTTTTATCTAGTCCTATATCAATTTTTGTTCTTCTTTTATAATATGCACAATTCAGTTTAGTATATTTAGGGCTAGATTACCTTTCTTTTTCTTTTTCTTTTTAAAGTCATACTCCATAATTCTTCTGGAAGCATCAATTCATTTTACCAAGTTTGAACAATTTAGGAATTTTCAGGGAATTACAAGTCATTTCTTTTGTGGGAATGTTTTCTCTATCCTCCACAGGGGAAATTTTGTCTTTTTTTTTTTCCAAGACCAAACTAAAAGTGTTCCCTTCTGTGAAGTCTTTCCCAGCTGCTCCAGGCTACTAACTGCTCCTTCCTTTGTGCTCTCCCAGTTCTTTGTTTATGTCTCTTTTAAGGTACTAATCATTCTAAACTGTAATTTATATGTTTGCCTTCCTGTATTCTCAACTATTCCCAACTTTAAGGACAAACAGCAATTGTGTTTATTTTTGAATTCCTAGTAGACTTACATATATTCGTCAATATAGGATTAGTGAAAGTTAGAATAAACAAGAGTCAACCTTATCAGCCTAGGAGTCTGGAAGTACTGACCTGATGGACTATGGCCTGAGATCATTGTGTCAATATTTAAAAAATAAAATAAAATCATGTTCTCGTATATTTATAACCTTAAAAGTAGTCAGTAAATTTTATGCTACTTATCATTAGAACATCACAGATCAAGTAGTCATGCAAAAAATCTACTGTAACAATCATAACTGTGTCAGCAAATAGATTTTTCCATTTACTGTGTGTTCTCTGTCTAGAAATCGTTGTAAATACAAGCCAAATCTCATTATATCCCTCACATGCTTACACAGCATTGGCTTTGTTTTCTTCAATTAAAGACGATGAGGAAACACGTCAGAGCCAATGTACTCTTTGGCCATATCAAATGTTGTATACTTATCAGGTGTGAATATGGCACATATGACTACCTGAATTTTTAGCAGGGCATGGCTGGCAGGGCTCTCCAAAACCATAGTCTGGATTGGCACAGCAGCACTCGGACTTGGTCACTGCGCCAGGGAAAGGGCGCACACATACTCCTTTCTTGATTCCACCATAGCAGGTACTGCGCATGTGAGTATCTAAAGAAGGTATAAGAACAATGACTTCAGATAGTGAGAGGAACAAAGAGATTTCCAAATGGAAGTCTTCTTTTAACCTAACCACCACATCGGGAGCTTCTAACAAGAGTATGCCACTTTTACTGTGTATCTTTAGTATCTAACAGTATTAGGAAATCAACATATGTTTCTTGAGTGAGAGAAAAAAATGACTTTTTTCTAAGTTTTATGATCTACACAAGAGTCCATTATCCCACTTATCCTCACAGGTCTTTCATTGAACTAGTGATATTTCCACAGGTCTAAACAACACTTTGAGCTTTAATCACTGGCTATACCATTCTCAAAGTGACATTTATTATTTCTATTTTAGAAGTTCTCATAAATAAGAAGTGCAGTGAAGTTAAACTACCTTGGGGAACACTGCTTGGACATGAAATGTCTTACTCCCACTTTCTGAGTTAGGAGGCCAGGATATTACTTGTGACTGTGTTATAAATCTCAAACACTCAGAAAATCCAGTTAAAAAAATAATAACTACCACTATGTATCTTTAATATTGTGCTAGTTGCTTTACAGGTAGTATCTCATTAAGCAGTCAGGTCAACAACTCTATAGGATAGTGGTCATAATCCACATTTTATAGATTGGGAAGATGAAGTTCAGAGCTACATATATAGCTTGAATTTCTTGAATATCCAATGCCAGAATTGGGATTCAGAAAAGGCTTGTGTGATTTCCAAAATTCTTCCTCTTTCCACTATGTTATGCTACATCCCAAAGAAGTATATCCTGCTTAGATTTCTTATTCTCAATTTTCATGAAATATAGTACAACTTTATGAGCCAGTAAATGGTGAACTATAAAAAACTCAGAACACCATAAAGGTCAGAGAAGCAGTGTCATTTTTAAGCAGTATATTGATATGGTAATTTCATCAAAGATAACATCTATTATAAATGTCTATAGCTATTCACAACTTTTGGAAATAATTTTATCTGCTTGTTATGCAAAATGAGTCATCTAAAGGTTTCATATAATCTTGGGGTGTTTCTGATATGAAGAATGTAATTCATGACTGCATTAAAAAATGAAATATGTGTGTGCTCAAATGGAAGATGGCCATGGGATTTACCACCTTTGCCCCTGAAAATTCAACTCAGAAACCTTTGCTGCTTCTGCTGTGGCTAAGTTTGGTAGTTTTCTCTGAGTTACACACAACTGTAGGCCCTGACACAAAGATGTATTTGCACAAAAACAACATAATTCATGACCTCCGATGTGATTTTTATGAGCTATTTGGACATTACCGATTACTTTGGAAGGTATCAAGGAATGATCAAAGATACTTATGTTTTTGTGTTAAGAACATATGCCATGCAGAATTTTTAGAATCAAGCAGATAAAAAGCCTGTCAGACTCACTGGAAGAGTGAGACATGTTGCATGCTGGTTTACATTACAGGTTAACTAATCTGTTTAAAGTACTCAAAACGAGAAGTTCCATGAAAAAGAAAGCAGCATAATTTATGTATGGGTCTTAGGAACATAAACTACTCTGGGTTCAGATTACCATGAGATGATCTTACATAAACTACTTTAACATCTTATCAATTAAATAAAGATTAAGTTATATAATAAATGAAAATACGTTTATTAGGAACCTAGCATGGTGCCTAGTACACATTTGAAAACTAACAAAAAATGGTGACCATTTCCCTTTTCTTTTTTTTAAAGACCAGTCAAGTGCAGTAGTGGGAAGGGGGCAAAGTAAAACAAGAGTGCAAGCTGTAACTGACAGTGAATAATTGACATAACTCACTACCTTCATAGTGAGCTTTTCCTGTTCAAAGACCCCAGGTTGGAAAATGAATTCAGGTAATAGTATTGAAATGTAACTGAGCCACCATTCACAGATAGATAGAATAAGAGGTATAATATTAGTAGTACCATCAGAATGTGATCACATAAAGGCTTTGGTGGGGCCTGGGTCTAAGTGCTAAACTATATCTTTTCCATATGTTATCAAATTTCTGTCTTCCTTTTCTTTCTTAAAAAATATGGAATGCTTTAAAGGATTTTCTTAGGTAATTAGTAGATTCTATATACTATTGGCAAAAGATATATGGGTGCAAAATGCTAATTTTATTTTATTTTTCTGTTTTATCAACTTGTCCTTATTTTTAAAACATCAACCCTTAAGATTAGATGTGATGCCCCTATTCTAATGTAATAAAACAAAAATAATAGTATTAATTTACTGGGCATTTACCATGTACCAGATGTCATTCAAAGCTTTACACAGATGAAGTATCTAATATTAATTTATTTAATTCCTAAAATAACCAAAAAGAAAAGGAGGCACAGAGAGGTATCTTGCTCTCAGTTTAGAATTTTTTTGTATTCTAAAAATAATCAGTAATATTATGAGGTGGCTTAAGTTTTCTTTCTTTGAATAAAAAGAAAATTTGAAAGAATGAAACAGACAAAAATACAGTTGCCTTTTGTTTATACCTTGCTTGTGAGTCATACTCCTTCAACATGCTAGTTAATATCATAGCTTAATTTTCTGGAAAAAAAACACATCAATATCTAGAAAAGAAAACTGAACAAACAGAAAAGAAGTCTAAAATTAAAATGCTGTCAGGTGCAGTAGCTCACTTCTGCAATCCCAGCACTCAGAGAAGCCAAGGCAGGAGGATTGCTTGAGCCTAGAAGTTTGAGACCAGTCTGAGCAATATAGCAAGACCTCATCTCTACAAAAGAGAGAAAAATTAGCTGGGTATGGTGGCATGCGCCTGTATCCAGCAACTCAGGAGGCTGAGGCAGAAGGACTGCTCAAACCAAGGAGGCTGAGGATATGGTGAGCCATAATCATTCCACTGCACTCTGAGCGACGGAACGAGACTCCGACTCAAATAAATAAATAAATAAATAAATAAATATTAAAGTAAAATGCTAATCCTAATAATAATTCATTGTAATGTGGTTCATTTCTTTCTTAAACACGCAATGGGTCTAAAAGGCAGAAGACATGAAGAAAACACATCTAGACACTATAGCAATAGCAATACATGATTTCATACATATGACAAATGATGTTTTTATTTGAAAAAGCTTAAATGATCACAATGATGAAGCACTGAGGAGGACAGTCCAATGGTTTCTAATATCTTTCCTGGATGTGGACAAGATAATGAACTTTTGTGTTAGAACACTGAATTCTTTACAACTATTCACCTGTTGGTAGCTTAAGAGAAAAATAATTTCTTAGCTTTTACTCTGTAGGTTTTAACAGAATTGTTTAGGTAATGGAAAAAAGCAAGTATATTAAAGTAACTGAAAATATTTTAGCTCTGTAAGCAGGAAGAAGCTACATTCTTCTAGCTGCTGTATTTGAAATATCCCTGAACAAAGTGCTGACAACCTTGTAGGGTGAAATAAATCCTAGATTGGATAGAGTGGATGAATTTGAGTAACAGATTATTTCCATCTGCTGATACTTAGGTTAGTCCCCTCTTTGGGATACAAATGTTTTGATTCTCACAGGTAATAGTAAAGTACTAACTATATTTAATAATTTCATTTCTCTCAAATATACTCTTAAACCAGTAAGTATTTCTATGTTTTATTGTACAACTTGAAAAATAGAGAATACACAATGGCTAATTCAGTCTAGAAGCTTCATTAAAGTGTACCAGAGAGAAAACTGCATTACATGTATCCTTACAACTGACTCTGCTATCTTTATCATTAAGTCATATTATTTGGGTTCTGAAATGCCAATGACATTTCTGTTTTGCCTGCCTCTTCAAAGTTGATTCCTCGTTTATTTTCACGGAAACCATTTTACAAAAAATATCCAGGAGGAATCTGAATGGCTTAGAATTAAAAAAAATTATCCTTCACAGTCTTCCTTTGCTTCTACAGTTAGCTGCATGATGAAAAGGAATAACTAAAAATATTTCAAACTTATATATATGTCCAAGTTCTACAGTATAAGGTTAATTTATATTTTAATTTTTGTTAGGGCAAAAACAAGAGTTTACTTAAATATAGCTATAATCCTCATTTCATGTCTTGTTATTAATTATAAAATCAAAATCTACTGTATTTAGAATTCAGTTATCTAAGTTTATCAAGGATGCTGGCTTAAGGACAATTTTTTTTTCTTCTTCACCATTTTGACTTGCATCTCATGAGATCCTTCTGAAAAAGATTATCTGAAAGTTTCTACCCATTTAAAAAATTAGTTTTTTAGCTACAATTTACACACCATAGAATTCAGTCATTTAAAGTGTACAATTAATAGCTTTCAGCATATTCACAGACATGTGCATCCATCTCCATAGTTAATTTTAGATTATTTTTGTCATCTCACAAATATCTTTTAGCTATCATAACACTCTCCCACCACCCCCACCCTCTCTGCCTTAGCACAAATCTATGTTATCGCAATAGATTCTGGACATTTTGTATGAATGGAATAATATACTATGTGGCTTTTATGATTGGCTTCTTTCACTTAGCATAATGTTTTCCAGGCAAATCTATGTGTTAGCATGTATCCTTTCAATGGCCAAATATTACTCCACTGTATAGACCTATCTCTATTTTTCAAAGGTCATTTGGAATGCTGGGGTCATTATAGAATGTTCCACTTACCAACACACACGCGTCCATCCATTCCCACAGCCAGGCCTGGGGGACAGTCACAGCGGAAAGACCCTTCATTGTTAATGCAGTGTCCATTCATGCAAATTCCTGGTGTCTGGCATTCATCAACATCTGCCCAGAGGGTGACAGAAGCCAGGCCATTACTGGATCAATTTAACTTTATTACAGGGTTTGCTTGTTGCCATTGTCCTATACTATCAGTCGTTTGTTTTTAGCTTTGTAACTTGTGGAAGAACACATTCATATTATAGCAGATCTCATACACATTTTCAGAAAGACTGAGTAAAAGTTGCTTTACCTATTAAGGGAAAAAAAGGGCCTCACAACCCCCTTTTACATTATTTGGCAACTCTGCTTAATGTTAAGTATCTAATTCAAATTAGTTACATGAAGCAAATTCTTAAAAAATGAAAGCAAACTATTGTAATTTTTCACACAAGGAAACTTTAATTAGAAGTAGTTACTATTTTTATATTAATTTGGATCATTTCACAATAATGAAATAATCTGAAATATCTCCTCTAATTTTTAATGCACTTGAATTTATCAAATGTAACCCAACATTAAACAACTTCCCCGAAAGATGAAACAGACTTCAAAAACAGGGCTGTCAACTCATATACATTTCAAAACTTATGGAACACTACATTTGTAAGAAAAAATTAGTAAAAAATAATTTCCAGAAACTGGTGAGATCTAAGTAATCTCTATATGTACACATACTGTGACATAATGCTATACACTGTAGCATAATGGTAATCTCATATCCTGTGTGTTAAATCCAAGTCAGCAAACCCTGAAATCATCCCCGTCATGAGTTCAATCAGCAAGACTACAGTATTTCCATTTAATCTTATACTTCTGTTTCTTGGATAGTCAAATAGCTATTTGTTATTCAGAAACATGAGAAATCAATCTTGATTTTTTTCTCTCTACTGTCCTTGGAATTGTGTTGATATTGTAGAGACTGGTTATGAGTTTTATTTGGTATTCAGATAAGTGTGTGCACTTAAAGGCAGAAACATTCATGGAATTAATTTTGTCTAAAAGAAGGAAACTAAGAAAAATAAAAATTTACTTCTAACCAGAAACTGCAAAATGTATTTTGCATTTTACTAAATTCCAATTGTGAGTATTAACATAATATAGTCTCATTTACTTATTTCTAAGAGACATATTTTTTGCTTATTAAGGTTATCACCAGAGCTTGGCCTTCAAAATGGCTTTATAAACAAAATAATTAATAGGAATGTTAAAATTATGTCTTCACTGCAATGTAAGATTTTTAGATAATGATGCATTTATGAACAATCTGTAGTTTGGCTTTATGGAAAAGAGGTAATGCTAAACTTGTAATGAGCAACAGTAGAAAATCTAGTTGCGAGAACACATAAAAATAAAAACATTTCAAGATTTTTTCTTTCTCTTTTTCATTCAGCTAGAGTTGAGAAATTATTTATTTCTACACTGTTCTCCACAAGACTTGCTAATACCAATCTGTCATTTCTTTAATTTTCCAATACCATTATTATTTTTGTAAAGATTGCACTGTTCCTCAGATAACAATGTGTGTTTTTCTAGGAATCTTTAGACACCTGCCTTCCTGAATTAGCAAGAGATATGAGTAGGATGAAATCCATATGAAGTAA